GCTCCCGCCGAGCCTTCAACTGAGCCGGGTACGTATTTGCCAATGCTGGCCAAACTGTTAGCCTGTTGAATAGGTAAAAGATAGGATCTGTAAGCTTGATCGAACTATGCAGTTAAGCAATTTATGCTAATTCAGATCTTCCTGCCAAATAGAATAATGGATTATATGGAATTAAATTCCATATTATAGATCCGAGTACAAAAAAAAAATAATATCTGCGAATGAACTTTTAAAAAGCCTAGACTAATTGTTATTCCTCTCTAAATTATTAGCCCGCAATCCAATCATTTTATGAAGACCTACCTTGGCGCGCTTAATAAGCTCACTTTGAGCTGTGAGAACGTTATCCTTTTTGCCGCCCCAGGACCGCATGGCAGAAGCCTGCATAGCGCGTCCAAAGGAAAAGGTCAGAGCCCAGGGCTTGCACAGTGGCACATTGTTGGTGGCATTCAAGTTAACAGAGGCCTCTTCCTCCGACATGCCGCCCGACAAGAACATAATGCCTGCAGGTTAAACACGGTTGAAACAGTTCACATTTCTGCAGCTCTCAGCTAAGCTCTTACCGGGCACAGCAGGTGGCACAGTGCGGCGCAGGGCCAAAATGGTAGCCATGCCAATTTCGGCGGGCGTATTGTTCTTGTTGCTGCTTTGCCCGGCCGTCACCATGTTGGTTCTGAGCAGTAAGCCCTCTAAGTAGATATGATGATCATTTAGCGACTTAAAGACAGCGGCCAGCAGGGCTTCGGTAACCTTTTGACAGCGATCCAGATCATGGTCACCGTTTACTAGTACCTCGGGCTCAATAATGGGCACCATGCGCTGTGACTGGCAGATGGCCGCATAGCGGGCCAGCACATTCGCGTTCTCCATGAGGGCCTGGTAGGAGGGCGTGTTCTTATCAATTTTAATTGTACAGCGCCATTTGGCAAAGTCGCAGCCGTCCTTTTTGTACTGAGCGCAGCGCAGATGAAGGTCATCTAAGCCCTGGGTGGTGTACTCGTCCATTGAGCAGAAAAGCGGCACCGTATTCTTGTCTACCTTTATTCCCGGAATGATGCCCTTTTTGCGCAGCACCTCGGCAAAGGGCACACCGCCGTCGGTCTTTTGGTAGAGCGTCTCGTGGAACATGATTACACCGGATACGTTTTCCGATATCTTCGGATCTGCTGTAAAAAGCAGCTGGCGGTACAGACGACGATTCTCCTCAGTATTCTCAACGCCAATCAATTGGAATCGCTTGCCAATGGTCGATGTCGATTCGTCTGCGGTGATGACCCCCTTGCCGGGAGCAACAAGTGCCTTGGCAGTGCAGGACAATTCCTCCTGCACTTCCTTAGTCGGATAGTAGAAGTATGTTGTCATATTATTAAACAAAAAATTTCGATTTTTTTTATTATTATTCACCAAATGCGAAAATTTTTAAATTCAAATATTTTGTTGATTTGACATCAAAAAATAAGGAATGTAAATACAGTTTCTGTTCTCAATTCAAATTAGGATTGCAAATAATTGAAAAAGATTCAAAAAGAATAAGTAATATTTTAATAACAACGTATTTTATTCCATAAATTTGGAACCAATTTATTTAGCTGATGCCAGTTCCCCATATAAATAGACACCAAATTGTTCTGCGTTAAAATATATCTCTAAATCAGCGAAATAAAATTGATTTTTGTTATTTGTAAACTTTCAACCTCTTGAGCATATATGGCTTACCTATCTGAGCGTCAGCCCAACAAGCGAGTTGTCCCCGGTTCAGCTTTAGAGGCAGTTGTCAATTCTCACAATCATCATTTAAATAAGTTTGACCCTATTTTAAAAGAGTAATATTTAAAGTGTATAATATTTAACGCCTTGTCAGATTTACTTTTGATTTATATTGCTTCCTTTTCTTTCTATTTATAAGTTCATTAATAAACCTTTGTTAATCTTTATGCTATTAACAACATTTGTCCTTAATTTATGTGTTTTATATTTGGGTGCACCTTTGGCGTTTATCACTTCTTAATTGTTGACCGCCGCGACCACAGTCGCAGCCCCAGCCCTGGCTTAATGATATTCTAATTGGACTTTTAATTGCTTTCTTTGTTAGGGCGCGAGGGTGCGGCAGCTTTTCATTTAAAATACTTACTTTTCGATAGCTGCAGATTAGAGAGCAATCTGGACACAGTCATAGGAAAAAAAAAGTACACAGGATAAACTTGCCGCACATTAATTATATTTTAGCCGCAATGAAAATTGCTGTGTAGCGTTGGCGGCTGCTCTTTTTTATGGCTTTCACACGCACATTTTATGGCAAAAGTTTTGTTAGCACAAATTATACGCAGCACCGTTGCCAATCTATGTGTATGCGTGCTATCTGGCAGGTTGGCTAACTTTTGTGATGAAAATTATAAGCGTTGGGGGCAATTTGCACAGCATAAATTGAATTTTAAAAACACATTTTTTTTCTCGAAATTTTCTTTTTGTGGCACAGACCAATTATTTTGCAGTTGCAAAGAAAATATTACTCATACGACTTTAATTCTAATTGGCGTGGGAAACGCAACGAGAGCTCTGTTATTATTGTTTTTTTTTTTTTTTTTATTTCTTTTATTATTTTTTATTGAAATTGAATTTTTTGAACCGAGTGCTTTAAAAGGATCGCTGGCGAGACACTTGCCTAATTTTGTGTAAATTATCGCACGAATTATGAGTCTCGAATGTGAAAAAGTTGCCAAAAATAGTCAGCGTCGGCTGCGATCGGCAACGAAATTAAATACGATAAACATCAGACAGCGCCAATGTGCAGTCTATATGTCGATTGGATCCGATTAGAGTTGACTCGATTGCTCTGGATGTGCTTGTGTGAGTAGTAGTCAAGTAGTTTTTCAGTCCAGCAACAGTATCAATATTCAAGCGCCGAGCTCCGTGCGCCAGTCGAGCCGCCAATTAGGCCAGACACTGCTAGCTACTTGCTGGTCGCACTGGCCACAACGTCTGGCCAATAAATCTACTGCAAATCTTCGCAACAACTCGATGGCGGCTCAAAATGTCTTTGCACCTAATTGAGCGTGGCGCTGAGTCAGCCGTAGCAGCAGCCGTGGCGCTGTCACAGTAGCTTAAAAATTATTAATTGATTATCTTTAAACGTTTTAATTGAAAAGCGCGGCGCACACTAAACTGTAGAAAATTGGCAACTGGCTAGTTGACTTTGTAATGCTCTAGGATTACTGAATACTTAAATTTAAATATGTCGGAACTAATTGTATTATGGAATAAACTTGCATTATTCAATAGACAGAAATATGGTAGTATTGGCCTATTAGAATTGCATAAATAATATAAGAATATATATCCTTAAATAACATAGTTTTCTTGACGTTTTCCAAGAGTTCTGTGTGCTGCCCCACCCTTCACAAAACTTTACTCTTATAAGGAGTTCCTTTAAGCCCATTGGATGTCACTGGAAATCTTTAATATACCCTAAATTGGATGTCTGAAAATGTTTTTTTATTAAATACTAACATCGGTATTTATTCTCAAGGCAAATTTTATTTCACTTCGTACCACACCCAATTAAAACTATCCCATATTAGGTAAATGTTACTTTGTAGCACATAAGGCACTTGAAGCCCCTGCGCACTTCCCATACTGCCCATACTCAGGGCATTCAATGAGCCGTCAATTGGCCATATCAAATTGGCGTTTTTTTTGCTGAAGCTGGAGCTGGTCTTAGCCAGGCAGGCAATGATGCCGCTGGTCAGCGTTAAGTCAGTCAGGCGTAATTATTGTTATTACCAAATTAAGTAGACAATTTTTTGTCATCGTTAATGTTAGCGTTGTTGTTGTCGTTGACTCTTTATCAGTCTGTCTGTCTGTAGTGGCTCAGTGGCTACTCGTAATCCGCCAACTACTTGCAGCTGCCGCCTGAAGTGCGACTGCGAGTCCGACTATCATAAAAGTGGGTGTCTGTCCGACTTACTCACGCTGTTGCTGCGTGGCATTTTTTTTACGATTTTGGTTTCCAATTTTGAGCACAAAGTCGTTTGACCAAAATAATACATACACATACACATACACGCCACATACATGTATGGTGGCATAATTTTCAAGGAAAATCTCTTCATTTTTAATGTGCTTGGCAGCCACAGCAACTGGTCACATATGTTGGCTGACTGGGCTATTGCGTTGTCGTTTGTAAAAATCAATAAAAAATTATAAAAAAAAAGTTTTTCCGACGAGTATGGCAACGTCTTGCGCCTGGTCTTGCCTGGAGGGGTAGGCGGTGCTTATAAATCGACTAAGATTAAATCGAGCGCACATAATCATATTTAGCTTTTGGCCAGAGTTCAGTTGGTGGATGTCAATAGCGGGCCAGCGCGACATGGTTGGCCCCTCGGGGTTGGACCCCGCGTCGTGGATCGTGCAATGCATTTAACATGGCCAAAACAATGGCTAAGCGCCACCATCTATGAATTAATCACGTTCATAATTTTGCGTCGTGTTGTCTTGTTTTGTGATTTCGCTGTTCATAACTTTTTTTTCCTCTCGTGCTTAATTTGCCTAAAAAAGGATTTGAGCCAATCGAGAAAAAAGCCAAATCAGCCGTTAAATCGCCAAAAAGTTTGCGGCACTATCCCCGGCTCGGCTGGCAGCCAAAGCAACTCTTAAACATATTGCATAATTATGCAACACTATTTGTTGTTCGTTTGCTTTGCTGTTTGTTTGTTGCTGTTGTTTTCGGGTGTTCGTTGTGGCATGTCTTGGCGCGAAAATGCTTGTGTGTGGCCATGTTGCAACAATGTATTGTTCATTGTGATTCTGTGCATATGTAGATGAGGTGTTTCACCCAATGGTCGCCAACATATGCAAATAAACATAATCAAGATTGTGACTAAATGGGTTGTTTTAATAGCTTAAGATGATAACATAGATTGTATTGGAGTCTATTATCTCTGTTTAATCTAAGTATACATATTCTCAATCTTCCGCATGCATATCAATAATTGCTTTCAAAATTCAACACTTTTTCAGAATTAGATTCATACTAATTCTTTCTGTTTGAAAAGGGATGATTACTAATTATTATTCCACATTAAAATTTTGAATTGTTTCGTACATCCTTGTACCACTGCTCCTGGATTAACCATGACTAAATTGATATTGGAAAATGATCGGATGACAAAGGAAACGTCTTAAGTCAGTGAGATTTCAAGGTTTAAAATCTCCTTAAGTGCTTTGCCCACACTGCCCACTGTGTAATTTGCCAACACTGTGACTAGCATTTACCAGTACTGATACAACTGACAAATTTTGACAACTGACGCAACAGAAGTTATTATTTCAGCTGGGTAAAAGAAAATATTTTAAAATGGATCTCAAGCGGTTCAATTTTCCCATAACCAAAGCAAATGATCTAAATGAAGATAACATAGACGGCTAGGCTAGTCGCTCACAGGAGTTATATATATCCAGAAGAAGAATTCAGCAGCTTGAACACCTGAGCTGTTTTCTATTGTGGAGAGATAAACCAAGTTGCGGATGTATATGGATCTGTGTCAGATGCGTCATGAATCTGAATAGGCTACCAACAAGTTGCCGGCTTCTCTACTACTTGTGCAGTTCAATGGAAGCACACTGATTGTCAGCGGCTTGATGGAACCGTGCCTATAATTCACCAATAAGCAAGTGGATGTCTTTCATGCCGCTGCCAAATAGGCATGTATGAGCCTTGGAGTTGGATACGTCGTATATGATGCGGCATGCAGCGAACATAACCGGCGGCTTTTACTTTGGCACCAGCGAGTTTAAGGCCCTGGGTATGAACCTGCCTTGCCTGTTCCTAATGCCGCCGCAGAGACGCCATCACTTCAATTACCCCAAGCAACCGCCGACGGATCTGCGCGCTGTTTGCTATTGCCGCAACAAGCTCATCGAAATTGGATTTGCCTACAGAAATTGCCTGTCGAGTGAGTTGTCTGCCTCTAAGCTCAAGCTTTGTTATTGTCACTCATGACTCTTCCGACGCTTTCAGTCTCTTGCAAGAACTCGCCTATTTGCGGTAATTGAGAGTGAGTTCTATGAGTATTTGTATTTTATACTATTTCTACCCCCGCGAAGTGTATTATATTGAAATGTGCAATATCGGTTATCCGCTATAATATTGCTTATAAGGTAACTTGATACTACTATCTAAACTATCCTAAGTCTAATTTTGGCTTTAAGTGGTGGCTGCGAAACGGTTCGATCTCAAATTTCCAATTTCTTTTTACCAGAACCTTCAAATGCTTGAACCAAATCCTAGGCTTTCGAACAGAACCTTGAGGCAGGGATCTGGTTACAACCGTATACCGAACCAACGAAAATTTTTTTAGGTTCGCAGCCACTTCCTTTAGTAACTATATAAAAAATATCGATGTTTTTCAGATCAGAACATGGTAGTGAACTTTATTCAAATATAATGTCATGTGTGTGCAAGGGTATTTCTACGGAATCCGAAATAAACTATTCTTTCTTATCTATAGTGTGAAACTCATTTTTAAAGAACTATCTTTAAGCCGCCAGAAAATTGAATCTTTATAGTAATGGGAACGGCGATAAAAAGCTAATGAATCAAATCTGATGAAAAAGATGTACATAAATCAATATTCAATCTTTTCTTTCCTTTTACAATTGATTTCACTTCTCTTCGGCTTTAATTTGCGTCAGCTTCACTCAATTAAAGCACCACCGGAACGAGCAACCACATGACTAGACCGCAACGCACGTGCGCACCACATAAATTCGCAGATTTTCACATGTCAGACACTTGACGGCGACGCCATTTTATGAAATCCTCATTAAATCAACTTTCAGGCGATTGCACAGACGCGCTAAGGATGTCCCTGCTCGGGCGGCGGCATACTTTACGAGCCGCAGAGCAAATGTTTTGCTTTTTTCCTTTTGCTTTTCATTAAAATTTACGCGTTATCGCATAAATACTTATGTACATGGCTGAGAGATTGCCCGGTCGCCCCGTCACTCCTCACCGCACCCCTCATTCCATCGCTTTGGTAAAGTTTGGCCAATTTTTGCCAATTAACAGAGGCGCAATCTCACGTACATCGGCCATGCGTTTGTCGCGTTTTCATTTCGGTAGCGGTTGGCGAAGGCTGCGTTGTTTGGGTTTCAATTTCGCGTTTCTTTTTATGGGCTTACGGGCAGCCGCAGCGTTTCCATATCGCCCAGCTCAGAGGCGCGTATCAGTGGCAGTCGTTAAAATGCTTGTCATAATTCCGCTTATATGCATGTGACATTTAGCGGCGATGGCCATTCAAGATTCCCATCGGGGTGCACTGGAGCACAACATTAATGGGGTGATACGAAGCTGGGGTGTGGCGTTGCCACCCAGTGGCAATTATTTTAAACTGTATGGTGTCTGTTAACAAAATGCCATCGCCACTTATGCACCGTGGGCGACAGATACTAGTACTTTGTAGAAATTAGATGTATTGTTAAACATTGTCTGAAACTTCTTCCAGTTATTTCTAATGCTTTATTAAATTTGTGAAACTATCTATAAATGTTGAATAATAAATGTATAATTAAAAATAATACATTTTTTATATAAACATAACAGTTAAACTCTTAAAGTTAAATTGGAATAAAAAGATTATATATACATATTTAAATTTGTCTTTTATTAATTTAGTTTAAAATGCTTTTTAAATTTTTTTTTATGTTTTCAGAGCAAACTTAGTCGGCCTTTTGATGTTTAGAATATTATAGAAGAAATACTCAAAAATCTTCTATTAGCTTTTTATTTATTTTGATAATTTTTTTTAAAATCTTTACTTGATTACCACTGTGCGATATGGAGTCGTCAAAAGTAAGCCGCTTGGCCTGTATATTTCAATTTATTTTTCACACTCAGTAATTTCCTTTGTTTGAATTTGCCTGGGCGTACATTGCGTATGCGTAATGCAATGGTACTTTTTTTTTGTTTGGCATGCCAAATATTTGCGCGGCTCTGGGCCATAACCTTGCCAGCCAAGTCAGCCATGCGGCCAGGCAGCCAGCAGCTGGTAATTGTCAATGGCGTTGGCGTTGGCGTTGACGTTGATGTCGTTCTTTCAGTCGCAGTCGCAGTCGCCGTCAAAGTTAGCTCTTTGGCGTTGGCGTGGTCGGCGCACGTCTCGATTTGCAGTCAATGAATGCGCTCGTAAGTCGTGTAACACTTTTTTGCACTTGCATTTGGCTTTGGCTTTGGGCTTTTAATTTGCATTTTGAGTTGGCGACCACCCACGCGGTCTTCGGTTGCTGCCTGCTGCTGACTCAGCTTCCATTCATAAAGTCGAACATTTCGCTCAGGTGTTGAATGCCGCATTTGGCATGCAAAGTGCAAGCGAATAAAACTTATTTTTGGCAAAAGTTCAAGCAAAAGACGTGCGCGTGTCTCAAAAACTAACTCACCCGACCAATCAGGCCCACAATTTCGGATAAAGCTAAATTCAATTGGGCGTTGCAAAATGTATTTTTCTTAATTGCATGCTTGGCACTTTTGTTAAATGATTAAACATTTATCTGCTTTGCCTTACTGCTTGCCTTTATTGCTTGTTAATTGCCTAGCAGAATACACAAACACGACTTTTACGCCCCAAGCCACGTTCCACAACCCGCCCACAGCCACGCGTATGCCATGCACTGCACCTGACCACGGACTTGTTCGCCCCCTTGGAGTTTTGTTGTCATTGCTGGAAATGTAATCAAAGTGGAAAACGCTTGGTGGTCAGCCGACGGACCACACTTTGCAGCTGCACGGGTTATCTGCATTTTGGGCAATCTAGAGATGCGCCCGTGCATGTACTTGATATATGCGTGATTATACTGCTCTACACTTAAATATTAAATGAATTGGCTTTGAACGTGGCCAACATGCTCACGCGATAGGCACGCGCTCATCTTCAAGGCAAATATTTGCTGCCAGACGCTGTTAATACCTGCCTGGGCTGTTTTTGGGTGGTGGGCATTGCTGCGCTGTAAGCTGTAGGCGTGGCAAATATCGTTGTAAGTACAACACATTGCACATTTGCTTGGCCCCCAAAATGACGACAAATAACTTGAATGTGTGTGTGTGTGTGTGTGTGTGTGTGTGTGTGTGTGTGTGGCGCGTGTGCGCCCTTTACTGCAATGCTAATTGTATTTCTATGTGTAACTGTAGCTGCACTTTGTGCGTTAAGAGATTTATGCGCTATGACAGGAAGCTCTTGATTAATTGAACTTTAATGAAAAGATTTATGTGGCTGCAATATTAAAACGCACTACGTTTTCGGTTTTCAATATCGAGCTAATTGCTTTAATTGCTGTGACAGCTCTGGCAAAACCAACGCGACAAATTAATTTAATGTTAAGTGAGAAAATGAGCACAAGAGTAAGACATAGTTTTGGAATAATTGACATGCAAATGGGAGAAAACGGTGCTCAAAGTCTGTGTGAAAAACAATAAATGCAGCCGTATAAGGGCGCCTTTCAATTAAATTTAATTCAAAGTTTTTTCTTTATGCAATTGAGGCAAGACAATTATTAAATCAATGCGTAACATACTTAATGATTATTTTTGTAAGCGTACACTAAGGGAAAAATTAATAAAAAACTTTTTTTTTTTATACACTTGTAGAGCGTATTGTACTTCTAAATAATTAATGAGCATGATTCTAATTAATTTAAAAATATATTTAGATTAAAAAATAGTTATTTGTTTTAAAAGCTATAAAACAAAATAAAACTGCCGGGCTATGAGATACCCTTAACCCAGCGCCTAGCTGGAGGTCCAAATAGCTCCCTGTTATACATATGTACGAAAAAACAAACATCCACATATGAACACATACAAGCACGTATGACGCTTGCTGTGTGGGTTACGCGCTGTGTTTCATCACACTACTTTACACTATTGGAAATTTAGTTATGAATAAGGTGGATGTAAGCGAAGCAATACCTTTAAGATTGAAGAGATATATAAACTAAATCGAAAATAATTTTTTAATCTGTATATGCTATAGAAAAAAGCTTTTCTCAATTCAATGTTGTTTGTTGTGCGCTGGAATCGATCAGTGCCTTCTGGTGTCTACCGAGCAAACGACTATGAAAGTTGCGTGAAGTTACAAGGTTGAGTAGCTTATGGGGTATATATATTGAAGCGAAATTTACTATGATAGGATATTTACAAAAAGGATTTAAATAATTGGCCTGGTTGGTGGGTGTGAATCCTATGGATATCCTGTAATAGGGTCGGCTAGGACCCTAGCAATCGCTTTTGGATAACGCAGTAGTTCATCGGCGAGGTGGCTCCGGATGAAGTGGATCTCATCCCCGACCATTGTAAGGTGGAGATCGAGTTTGATACCGTCATTTCTGACATAACATAGGGGACCGCCACCTTGTTAGGTGCATCTGGGTCTTATAGTTTTCGACTTATGCTTAAAAAAGCATGTCACAAAATCGACATGTATTGATATTACGAAATAGGTAAAAGATATCAAGAAAATAATAATCCGCTCGCGTTGTGTATATTTCCAATTTTAAGTCTGTAGCTTTTGTAGTTTCTCAGATCGACACATTCACACATACGGATAGAGGATATGGCTAACTCGGCAGTTAAGGCTGAGATGCTTTCTTTCTGCCTGATACAAACACTAGCATAAAACCACCTTTTTACCCATTTTCAATAGGCTTGAAGCAGACCCATTAACAGGATCTGACTTAAATATTTGTGCAGCGATTAGTGTTGCGAACATAATTAACAATCTTTCGATTAAATTAAAACATTTTAAATAAGCCAAGCGAATCATCAACAAGTCACTTTTTTATCGCTCTTCTTAACTTTCCGTTCATAGGAGCTCTTCTCATCCATCACTACGAAATCGAATGTGCTAATGCACATTAGTTATTCAAACCGCAATGCTGAAATGCATCGTTAGCTTAGCCATAATTCATTCAATATAATCGCATGTGAATGACAATTCTATAACTCATTATGTGCGCCTGCTCCACATTAGACAATAGCTTGAGCAAAGCCCCAAAGCAAGCCATAGAAATGCGCGCAGCTAATTGATATTCTTCAGCGATAATCATGGAAATTTATGCCACAATATGTAAAATATTTCTTCGTCGGCGGCGTTGGCGGCGTTGGCGGCGTCATCCTCATTGTTTCTTCAAGCGCTTACAACAAATTGCAATTGCAGCAGTTTCTGCATATTAATTTTCACAGCGCTGACGTCGACAAGTTGTTTGTTGTGGTTGTTGTTGTCGTTGTTGTTGTATTTGTTGTTGTTGTCGCTGTTGCCGGCACGAGCTGTAGTTGCTGTCGTGTCTCGCATTGTCGTTGCTAGCTGCTGCTGCTGCCGCTGCCGCTGCCGTAGCAGCCACTTCAGCGCCGCTTCTGACAACTGTAACAATGCACTTTCAAATGATAATTGTTACAACTTTTATCGCTGATATTGCCAGCAACTGTTGCCACTGTTGCAGCAGCAACATTTGTGGCCAGCCTTTGGTTTGCAGTTGTTATTGTTATGATTATTGCATTGTTATTGGCATTTTATT